ACAACGTACACACTGCTCAGTATTCATAGATGAATCAAGGGAGATGACCCTTGGGCCTGAAAAACTTAAATACTTAACATAAGGGTTAACTTGATGATAGAGACATCCTACTTTATTTTACACTCTATTAGAAGAGCTCCAAATTGCATTGTGCGACCTGCGAATCAGATAGGGATCAGAGGTCGTCACAGTGACAACTTTCAGAATTCATGGCTAGATCTGCATAACAAGATATTTTTAATAACTCTCTAACAGCAGCAGGCCAGTGTGAGGCATAAAATATACCATAGCCACATTCAGCTCCAGGAAAGAAAACCAACTCAAACCCATCACACTACCTGATTAGATGCTTTTTAAGAGTACCATTTTGAGGGTTAATTTTAGTGTGTTGGTTTATAGCAGTCCTGTGTTCTGAGAAGACTTAAAAAACCTGAAAGCTCTTTTAGCTGAAAAGTGACTATGAAAGAGACACTTCACAGACAGAAATAATCATCAGATGATAGTTAAAATAGGAGAGGAGGGAAGAGAAAGCATAAGCATCTGTGTGACTTATTTAATATTGTGTGTTCACTTTTACAGTTACGACTGACCTGGCTTTTTTGATAAGTATTAGCTAGACAAAAAAAGAAGTAGTTAAAATGTTGCCTGGGCTGTTATTTTGACCGTGCAAACATTCCCATTACATGCTAATGATGTATAGTCTGATAAAGGACAACCGTAGGTGCAATGCACGCTAACAACCAACATCAAGTTCAAATCTCAATATTAAACACTTCTGGTTTTCAAAAAGCAACTTTAAGAATGAGGGGTTTTGTTTGTGTGCTGTTCAAAAGCATCACCTGAGGAAATGACTTCTTTTACAAAGGTGTCTCTCTTGCTCCTTGGTCTGAGTGTTTTAGCAGACACTGGTTCAGGCATGGGGAGGGACCACTAAGGACAATTAGTTATCCCCCAGAAACAACTTCTCTAAAACAAAGAGGGGAAAAAAATGAGGATATGAGCACAAGAAGCTGCTACAGAAAGCAGTCAGCTGGACTGGATGCTCTATGGCTACAGGAAGAAGCAGAAAGAGAAAACAACACAGCCCTTGCTTTTGATCTAAAATGCACATGTCACTCTTTAAAACAGACAGTGACTTAACTAAAAGACAGACTTGAAGAAGAGCTACAGAATGATTAGGTAGAAGTAACTCATTCACACTGATAAAATGCCAAGCTCTAGTGGAAGACATGGAAAAAAATAATCAGCAATAGTCTTGCAGCTAAAGAATTGGCAGAATTCTTGGCTTAATTTATTACATATTCAAATTTTAATCTTTTTATGCATTAAAATATTTTACAAATGAATTATAACTAGCACATATGTCACTGGTAAGTAGAATTTGTAACTACTTTTTGACATTATTTTTTCAGGAAAGTCAGATTTATAGTGCAATAAGGTTTAGGGATCAGGTCAGGATCAAAAGGACAGCTTTCTCCAAGTCTAATTATTAATGGCATTATTGAATTCAACCAGATGTTTCACAGGATAAAATTAAGTACATGCATAAGCCAAGATCCAAATGCATGCTTAGATTTTACAGAAGAAAAGGTGAAACAAAGTAATGAAGCCAATTAATGAAAAACTAGATATCCGTGGCTATTTATGTATCTTGAAATTACAAACTCAAAATGTAATAGGACTGTTAAATGATCACTCTGTTGACAGACAAGTGAGTGGGATGTTTCTCACATCATATTGCCCAGTAGCTTCTATTTGTCCAAGCTTTAGCCAGCCCGAGTAGTAAATCTTTTACAGCTTCACAAAGGTAATGACAGAAGAGATAAACATACTCCCAGTGCACAAAACATAGCTAATAAGCTACATTTCTATTAATGTGAAGACTTCATGTACTATCCTAATGGATAATCTTTGATGGAAATGATGTAAATGAAAGGTAGTGTGTATGACTGAAAATAGAGCACACAGTTTTGTTCTCTCACAACCTTAGATGCAAATGATCTTATAGTTTTAAATCAGCTGCAAATCAGATACTAAATAAGAAAAAAGCTAGTATTTTAAGAAAAGCAGGAAGGTATAAATAAAATTATTTCTAAGCAGAAAAAATATTTTTAAGGAACATTTTAGCTGTAAGTTATTCTTACAAAAGAATTAAGCCTCTGGAAAGAGAAATTTGCATTTAAACACCAATCTCAGCCAATAATTAAAATTTCACTTCTATAATAATTCACCTAAACAGAGTGAAGGATTAACTCGAAATGCCTGGTATTGCTGTTGTAGTGAGTTTAACCGGAAACAGACTGAGACGATGCCTGGCTTTGGAGGGAGTAGAGGAAAAACGCCGAGCATGCAGTGTGCACTCCCTCTACTGGGCACTCAAATTATCCTGGTTCGTTTCAGAGAGGGCTAAGTCCGAGCCAGGTACCAAAGAAATACAAGCCCCAACACAGCTTCTGCGTTCTTGTCCTAGATTCAGCTAAAACTCAGATTCACAGAAAAACGGATGTTGAAAATCCTGTTTACACTCTCGAAATACATTTCCCATCAGAAACCAACACCTGATTCGCATTCCAAGCAAGTATTTACCTACAGTGAATGTAACTTGGGTAAGCACATAAAAACTTACTTGCCTTTGACCAACACAGTAAGACTGTCATTGTTTGTCCATCACTCACCCCTCTGAAAAAAACAACAGCTCAGAAAGAAATGTCTTGAAGACTTCTGATCTGGGGACACAGCGATGGGAAGGAGGAAGACATAGTCTGGGCAGCTGGGGTGTATTAACATTTATAAGGTTTGCTGCAAGGGATTTGTTTCCAGACAATCATATCATAACCTTTGTTGTTGTTTTCCCCTCTCATCCCATGGCTCCAGAGAGGCTAGTGCAGAATGGCACCACAGCCTACTTGCATTGGCAGGGTTTAGGTTTTCCATAATTACACTCAAAATGAGCAAGGACACAAACAATTCACCTTTATATTCTCCAGCTAACAATACAGGTACCTCAGACTGCAGCCACTACTTGCCAGGAAAACTGCCACCTTATCCAAATGTAGAGATGTCACAGACCAACTACAAACCAGACAATTCACATGGGACCAGCACTTCATTTACATTCTCTCTGTTTACTAAATGCCCCTCTTCATTTCTGGGTGTGCTCATCCCTACATGTGAGCAGGTACAGCACTGACTGACTCCATGTGCTAACTAATAACATCTGTAATACACTGAGCTCTGTCTGGACAGGGTGGCTGTGAGCCAGTGCTTTGAAGGACAGACTAAGTCCTACCTTTGAATTTAAAGATTAGAGAAGATATAAAACTTTGGCATGGCAACTATAGCTTCAATGACACAAGGATGTATAGACAGAAGCAATAACACAAACAGCAATGCTGAATTAAAGAGGAGCTGTGTGCAGACTTTCACATGATAACATGTAAATATTTGACAGATGGTGACTTCATAATCACTAAGATATTTTGTTCTATCAGATTCATTTTACTGTGGTTTTAACAAAGTCATTTGACACATGACTAGAAGATAATTTATACAGTTTCCTTCTGCCATACAAAGCTATGTTCAGGTTATAAATTTAAAGTAACTTAGCACTCACACTAAATTTTGGTATTTTTCCACTGGAGAAAAACCCTAGGAATAATTATATATTGTTTTCAATACTTAAGTTACTACCTCAATTTGCACCACTTCATTTTGAATGTATTTGTGAGCTCTGCTATGTATTTTCCTCTTTTTTTCCTTCTAACCACAGAATTTATTAGCTTTCAAACCTCATATAATAGCATTGATCAATCTCCAGAAGTGGTTACAATACCACTTTAAACACTCACACACACACACACAAAATCCAGGCTTGAATGTCCTTTATATCTTGCAAGAAATATAGCAACCAATATTCCATGCAGAAGTGCAGCAAATGAAGTCCTGTCAAGCAAATGGCAGGAATGACAGCAGATGTCTGGATTCCTTCATAGCTGGTTGCATAAAGCTAGCACACATATTTCACTGGAGGAAAAAAAACCCTCTGACAAGACAGTCTTTCAGTACTTTTCATTCACAGTTGGCATTTTTGACTGCTGTGGTATGTCAGTCGGTATTAAGATGATGAACCAGATTAATCTTGATAAAAGCTTCATTTGCACAATGAAAGCAAAGTCTACAAACCCTCAGTCATGGCTAAACAAGGCTACCACAGTTTAGACCAAGGTATAACGTCCAGATCAAATGTTACAATCTAGTCATAAACCAGACTCTGCTCTGGACCCTGGCCCAAAACACTTCTGTCAAGCTATACAGTAATTATGTTTGATCGCAGCCAACAGAAATGAGTGTTATGCATCTCTGCTTTTAGCTACATAAACAAGCCACAGGCTCCTTTTTGGATCTGTTTGAATTATTTGATCTTTCAGCTTCTGTTTATTCACAAGTTCTACCAACTTGACAAACACTATCATAGGTAGCTAATCTTTGTAAAATATTTTGACACTTTGAAGCTTTACATAACTAATTCTCTTAAGATACATTCAATCACATTTCATGCTCACTAGAGAAAGTAAATGCTTCAAAGCAGAGAGAGACACTGCTTTCATGAATTGTGAGACTCTAGCATAGCTTGGCAAGCTGTAAAAGACCATGAGTAATACAGTGTTTACTGAGAGAGATGCACAAAGGAAGCCGAGGACAGTGTAACCCACGTGTAACAGTGTCACACGCAAAAAAACTGAGAGTAAATACAATCTGAACATAACCACTTCTCCGTTCTGAACAACAAAAGTGGTGCCTTACATGGCTTTGCACACTCTACAGGTGTTTAGTGCAAATTCCTTAAGTGAAGCTACAACCAGGTGAGTTAGTGTACTTTTCAACAGAACTTTGGTTGAGAAATTTCCCAGCCTAGTGCTTAAGAGAAAGCAAAGTTTCTTCCTATACAAGCTAAGCATTACTAATGGTCCCCTCTAGAAAAACAGTTTTAAGAAACTCACCACTTTTCTTTTTCTTGCTTTAAAGGAAATGTTCATTTCCTTATATTTCTTCATAGCAGTCTCCAATTTATTCTTGAAATCAATGGCACATCTTAGCCGATCATCGTTTATTCCTGCTTTGGTAAATAACTGCAAAGCAAAAAGTCAACATTCTTATTCTTTTTTTGTAGATATTCAAGACATTTTTTGTTTTCCTTCATAATTAATATAACATAGTCACTAATTCCTTTATTTTACAAGTAACAATTAATGAAGCCACTTCTTTTCTATCTAGAATAGAAAAGCTAATAGCAACTACTAAAGACAAACAATGACCAGACAGTTGGTATAAACATCTCCTGAGAGTGTCCATCTATAAGCCAAATTCCATGCATGTGGCTCCTGAGCAGTAATATCAACTGACAGAAAGGACATTGTTTTTCTGATAGACATGTCTGACAAAAGCTGTGTTTTACTTCAATACTTTGTGAAGAATTTTACTACATCTTTACAAAACAGTATGACTGTAGGTAGCACACCTAATGCTGAGAGCCATCAAACAAATTATGTAGCTCCTGTAGTCTCCTTTTGTCCACCCCACTGAAACAGAAATCCTTTCTGTTTGCACCAATGTTTCTCTAACCTTCACGTCCTTTTGGCTCACTTACTGTATCCCAGCCCTTGCTTTTCCATCTTTTTATAACAGTGAAAAAAACGTTCTCTATCCCACCTGAATCCAGGACTGCACAGAAGGCCAGAACTTATTTCTGAGAAGTCTGTGAGCATCCACGACATTGTTTATTATAGCAGTATTATCTTCATTCTCATGCACTTTTATATCTGCTCAAAACAGGGAGGGGGGGGGAAAGTTAGTGTACAATATTTATAGTATCTTTACTCCAGGAGCTAAATAAGGGACATGAACCTTTCCAAACTATTTCATCACTACAGGGAAGTTACAAACATCAGAATGTTTCTCTGTTCAGTATTAATTATTCTCCCATTATCCACACATTCAAAAAACATCAGAGGAAAAGATTAAAAGCTTTTTTCAGTCCAGTGATGACAGAGTTGTTAAGCCATCGCTACTAAGGAATCACCAAATAAACCACAGGCAAGTGCAATCTTCCTATTTACACTACAGCTCGTCTTAAATTCAGGTGAACTGCGCCTTATTTGATATTGAATATGCAGAAACTAGATATATTACCTGCCCCAGTGGCAATAGCGACTTGATTATCAAAGAAGCCAAAGCATGCCACCATCCCAGTAAAAATACTAATTTAGTATTACTATTATCAGTTAGTCATTCACAAGTCCTATGGATACATTTCCCATTCTGTTGTCTGCAAGCACAAAGTAGGTACCTGCCTTACCGGTTGTTTGCACATGAAATTCTGTTAGGACAGTATCTGTAAGATACACAAACCAGCCTAATTTTTCTAGAGGTAACTCACATTAGCAAAGTTCTATAAAAAATGCATACTCACAATTCTTAAAACTTCTTAGCAAAGCTACTTACTGATTCTTGCAAGTTATCAATAGCAAGAGGGAAAAAAGTTCAAGAAACACTCAATTGTAAGATTTGTCAATTAGCCGCTCATACCCCAGCTATAGAAAGAGGTGAGTAGCGAAGCGTATGAGAAAGAAAATTACATATGGAAAACTTTTTAACACAGGAAACTTGTGTTATAGGTAGTATGAAGTGCTGAAATGTGCTTACAACAACTGATACAAAAGTGTGGTCTGAGAAGGTCATTAATATAATCTGTTAATCGCATACAAGGGCACCCAAACCTAACAACGGTTACTAGATGAACCAGAAATAGAAAAGAACTCCAAAGGAAATCAAAGTGGACTTGATGATCTTAAAAGGTCTTTTGCAACCTAGTTGATTCTATGACTCTATGAAAGTGGTGCCCAGGAATCCCAAATCAAAATGGTGTCTAAGAACCCCAACATTTAAGTCATACGAAAAGACCAAACCCCACAACTACAAAGCACTTCAGACAAACGCTGCCTCCAGTTAAAAGTGAAAGAATTTCCAGGTACCTGTGGAGATTTCAATGCCTAGAGTATACTTGTGTGAAACAAGCCCATGGTTCCTAACAAAAGTCTGGTAATCATCATCATCATCAAGAGCAGGGACACCAGATTGACCTTCTGAGCATGTGCCTCCATCCAAGTCTTTTTGTTCCAGCTTTTCCTGTTTCTCATCCAACTCTTTATCAGTTCTAACACACTGAGAAACAGAAACAATGTCCTTGCTGCAGCATGGCTGTTCATCATCCATGCATCCAAGGTAGGACTGGTTCACTTCCATCTGAGAAGACCAGGGGGATGCAGGTCTATTCTCATTAGTAGACATTTGTTTGTTGGGTTCCAGTTCTGCATCATACACAGTGAAGTCAAAAGGATCTGGCAGCAGAAGTCGGAAACAGTTCTCCATCTCTGTCAGTGTGCCAGCAATCTCTTGGGACATTTCTATCAAGACACAAGTGTTTCAGAATATAGTTAAATACTCTAAAATGCCAGTAATATCTCTAGAGCAGACACAGATCTACAGAACCAATATAACTACCAAAGGGGTAATCCATTTATCCAGTAATCAGGGATAATTTAGCCATACGGGTCTCTCTCTGCTCAGAAATTGTCCTTATAAGAATGACAAGACTTTTATTAAGCAGGAAATCCAGAATTTCCTCAGCAAGGAATTTAGGATCAGTGTTCCTCCTTTCCCTATCCTCTCTAGAATTTCACTATGCAAATATGACACAAGTACTTCATAGAATTTGAAGGAGAACAAGGTTCAATGGGGATGTTCTTAGTGATGTTGGTGGGTATCATTCTGCAGCCATGAATGTTAGAGCTCCTTGTAGGTGTAGCCATGAATATATGTTATTGCTTGATGCTACCAACAAAAGTGACTTTAAGAAGGTTAAATCTCTTTAAAAGTCCACCCTCATGCATGAAAACACTTCCAGCATGCAGAAAAAATGCAGACACAATTGGATGCATTACATATATCAAAGTAATTTAATTAAATAACCCTTTGTAACTGCACCATAATATACTTACTATCTCTGTTCTTTTTTTGTATTACAGAATTATGTCTGCTATGAACATATCACTTGAGATTCAGTCCCCAGTTAGACACATTTTTTAGCAATGATATGATACTTCTCATGGATATCCTAACACTGCATCCAGGATTCCTGTGTAGACCATTGCCTGTGCCTCTGGAACATGAGGACTTCATTGTTCAGAAGTCTGTGCCTACTTAATGACACAAATTAAGCCACTAGCTCCAAAACGTTTCACGATATGCTTGCTTGAGGCTATGCATTCATACTTTCCCAAATTACAGACCAGATCTCTACTTGCTAACTTCTCTTTTTTGTTTTTAAACCTCATCATACTGCCTGAGCTCACAGGATTGTTACTTGTTTCCCCTGATAGCCTTTAGGTGAGAGAGACAGAGGGTTAAGCTCTAACAAATGTAGTACTCCTGTCCTCAGTGCTCAGCTATTATTTGGATAGTTATTCTCTTTGAATTTATTTTATGTAACCTTAAAAAGGGTTGCTTTAAAAACAGACAAAACCCCCAAAGCAAACACTAAAAAACCAAAGCAACTCACCTTCCATTTCTTTTTCGGCTCTTTTGGCTTTTTCTTTGTAAATGTTATCCAATCGTTTTTGCTTCTCCTCTTCCCTCCTCCTTTCAGCCATGGTTCTGGCATGCACATCTTCAAAATCCACCTAAGGAGGAAATGAACGAAATGTAACATTCCTCACAGGAAATATATAGAAAATCCATTTCCTAAGATCCTTATCTGGGGTGAAAAATCCTCTAACACCAGCGATCAACCAGAAGCGCAGCAGCATTTCCTTTTATCTCTTCTCCTCCTGGAATCAATACCTAGAGTAATTCTGAACAGTTTTTACTTCTATTAATAAGGGACTGCTGAGAATCAACAGCTTTCAGAAAGGAATCGTAAGGTAGAAAAGCAAAATGCTTAGATTTCCACATCTAAAATGCAGGAATAAACTAGGCTTTGGGAGACCTCTGTCACAGCACTGGAGACCAAGGGTTAGAGGCAAGGGACAGGAAGGGACTACACAGGGTGAACACTCAGACTATATGAAAACATCACAGCAGGTCCACTATTAATAAAGGAAGCTTAGGAAAACTTGTAAACGCAAGTATCCATATCACTTACTGAAGAACTTTGTAAGCAAGGAAAATAGAAGACATTCAAATTCATTAAAAAAAGATCAAATTTTGAATTTACAATTATATTTGTTGAATTGTGGGATTGAGGGAAAGGTTATAATACAGTTCCATTTTCATTTGACTAAAATACAAACATAAATCTGAGTGTCTTGCTGTATAAACATTCCTACTGCTCAATAAACCCTACAGTGCACAATAAGCCTTAAGGTTTTTACAAATATTATTTATGCAACCAATTTAAAGACAAACATTTCTAGGAGCAAAAGGATACTTCGGTTTTCACAGAAGTTGGCAGGGAGAGTCTCCATCAGTTTAGGAAAAGAGGCAGACTCCCCAAGCTTGTTTTTAGTGGGAAATGGGTGGGCAGAAGGAAGGTACCAAACACCTACGGCAGAGCCACCTG